TGTACCATTATTGTATCATGTATGCGACATCAAGTACAAAGAAAAGGCTTCCCCCGCCCAAACAGCGTGGCTTTATTTCTTTTCTTCTCTTCTCTCTTCTCCACCTGTTTTTGGCTGCTGTTTGGTATTCCATCAAAGTTGCAAAGTCGTCGCAATTCCTGGCACGGTCGCTCGCTTACCGCCTTATCACCTGTCGCCTTACCGCCTCGCAGCTGTCAACGACGTCACGCAGGTCACGCAGGAAACGGCTTTCCGGACACCAACCCTCGTTCATCACGGGGACACAGCATCTTGGCCTCTTGCCTCTCCCGACCCTCGACACTTGATTCGATCTCGCCTTGTTGCGCAGGATTCTGCGATATCGAACACGATAGAGTTTGCTGCCGTGCAAAGAACACGCCACCCGCCGCCCGCCATTCGCGGTTGGAGAAAACCCGCAGAGACGGCAGAGACCTCTTCGAATCGAGCACCAGCCACCACAGTGCAGCGGCGTTATCGTCTGGTACGTTGGATTCATCGTCTAGCAGAAGCACGCAAGGGTGGCGACAACCAGACGGCCACGTTGGGACCCGAAACTCAAAAGAGAAAAAATGTCGCGCTGGCCAGCCATCTGAACAGCCCGGTTTTCTTTCTTGTTATTATTATTTTTTTTTTATTTCATGTTTTTATCTCCTCCGACTTTACGGGAACTAACTGAAATCGTCAGTGCCGCTCATGCTTCCAAGTTCAGACCGTGTCTGGTGACTCTGGTCTGGCGCGCTTCCCGTCGTTTCTGACTCGTCTACTGCGCTGCCCGCCGCCACTTTATTAATTTTTGTTTCCACCAGCACACTTGGCTTCTACAATACTTTGAAGCTTGCAGCCACAAAAGCTACCCGGGCCAATCGGGACGAGGTGCAGATCGCTGAGAGCTGGCCAGCCTTGAACGGCCGGCTTGCCACTTGCTACCTGCCACTGGCCAGACATCCAGCAGCTGCCTGCCAGCTGTAGACTTGCCACTCGACGATCGACCAGTGCGGTACTACAGTGGCAGTATCCGTGGGCCGTGGCGTTTCTGCAGCGCCGCAACCCCAACCACCGCGCAAGCCTTGGACCAGCCGCCATGGCTGATATCAATAATCAATCGCGTCGCTCCAGCAGCCTGCAACTCATGTTGGACCTGGAAAAACAGTATATGGTCAGCATCTCTTCCATCCTCCATCCTCGTCTCTCCTTTTTCATTGTTCGGGGAAAATCTTCTCTTTGACTGCCTTTTTTTGTCGACTTGTCCCTTTTCCCCTCCCCCAACAATAGCTGCCATTCAGACGGAAGCATACTCACAGCTGAATCCTTACTGACTCGAGTTGCATTCACGTCCCGTCTCTTAGACCGAGCGACACCAATCAGTGCAATCACAGACTATCCAGTCAAAGCCAACAACAGCCCAAACCACTTCCATCTTAGTCACAACCCCCCAGGCGTCTCCCGATCGCACCAGCTTTCTCGCCTGTCCCGTGGACGGCGATGCCCATCGAAGAGGTGGAGACCATCGTCGTGGTACTTCTCTTCCTCCTCAACTTCCGCCTCTCATCATCATCAACGACGATATCAACGATAACAAGGACGACGACGACAAGAACACCTCTCTCACGCTAAGCCCACCGGAGCTGCTCATGGACGGCAGGCGGGAATTTCCTCCCAGTGACATCCCCCATTCGGCTACAACAACACCACGTGAAAAGTATACAAAGGTTGTTGCCTTTGAATTTCCTGCAAAGGAAGTTGCACGCTGTCACTCCCCGAGCTGGGAGGCATATGAACGACGCAAAATGGAGAAGAAGATGGAGAAGAAGGAGCGAGTGGAGGCCAGAAAGGATGGCACCAAGAGGCTCTCCAAGAAACCTCCACCGTTCAGCTCCCCAAAATCCCTCCAACATGCATTGGCTTCAGAGGCAGAGATGGCTAGAGGACGTGGACGGGAGAGAGCACAAAGTACAGCTACGTTGAGCGGCTCGGATCTAGAACAAAAGCCCGCTCGAAAGGCTCGCAGTCGATCGGGTTCGTTTGTTTCCCTGCTCAGAGCGCCATTCGAGTTTCGACGTTCGGCTTCCACAGACCACGTAAACGACCCAGGATTTATTGGTGGCATTAAGCTGGAACTTGAGCGATATGCGCATCAGCAACAGAACCTGGATAGCAACGCCGTTGAAGATGAATCAAACATTCATCCCGCTCTTCGCAAAAATAACCAGGCATTTCACTTGGCCCCGCTTGCCGGTCCCTTCACTCACAGCGGAACAGACCAGCGTCGATATCCGCCAATTACGAGGGGAAGCAATTATCATCAGAAGACAGCATCTCTCGCGATCCCTCCTTCGGCGCCTGCTCTTCATGATGCCAGCAAAATCGACAAGTGGCGAACCAGAGTCGGCCTCAAGGGGGGTTCGCGGCCACAGTCGCTAGCCAGCCCCGATGAAGAATTGCAACTATTGCAGCTCGGCGGACCTGGAAACCATTCAACTGGATGCATGCAAGCGGAACAACTTGTTCCTTCAGCTCGTAAGCAACCCCAAGAGCAGCTCAAGTCACCAGCAAGTCACGCGTCGTCAAAGCCGGCGCACATTGCATTCGCCGTGGGACCTTTGGCGACCCCGCCCTCGTCGGCAGCCCTCGCCCAGGCTGGTGGCGAGGCGGAAAAGCAGTCCGAGAATCGACACCCACGGAAGCACAGTAACAATGAGTCTGTTTCGTCTACCTCGTCTGCTGCTACCGGCTACAAGACGGCTCCTTCTTCCCCTCCTCCGCCAGAGCCTCCCCAGCGAAGCTCAAAGCGGCACTCGGCCGTGAGTTCGGTCGACTCAATCCCGCCAGTACCGACGCTGACCCAACAACAACAACAGCTATATCATTCTGATGCTCACGCTTGTACTAAAGATGCAAAGCCATCACCATCTACTCACCGCTCGTTTCCTCTTTACACGAATGTGGCGAAACCCAAGGGCAGGCAGTCTGGACATGACTGGACTGAAGGAGCACCCTCCTGTACTGCTGCAGGTCAGATGTCACCGTACCTGTCGTCGCCCACAAACAACGGACATGGGCCGACAAGTTCCTCGGAGGAATCGTGCGACGAAGACTTCCGCTCCGCTTCGTCCATTAGCACGCCTGCAACCTCTCGACCGCAGTCTGAGCGCGAAATGCCTCTGACATGTAGTCAGGACAACACACCTGTGTCGGTCCATGACGCAGTCAGGGCTTGTTTCAGCACAACGTACCCACTACCCAGTGCAGATAATTCCGAAGATGAAGGAGGCATCGATCCCATCCAAGCCGCGGCTGAGAAAGTCCTTGCCGTCTTCAATGGAATCCCCGTTCAGAGACCTGATGTTCGCCGGCGACGCAATTCCCAAACTAGCTCGGCCACGGATACGGATTCCAGCTTCGAGCCGTCTGCCACAGAACGGCCTCTCAATCTGCGCCCCAAAAACAAGTCCACGGACCCATTGCAACAAAATGGTCATTCTTCTTGGCCGGCCTGTTACCTCGAACAAGCCCGCAAACAGCCGCCAGCGGCCGCGCCAACCCGCATGCACAAGCAGCGCTTTGGTCCCCCCGCCTCCTTTGTTCTCCCAGCAGACGGCTCGAATGCTGGCAACGAAACACTCAAGCCTGAACTGGCAGTGACTGGCCCGGTGCGTCGTCATCTCCGCCACAAATCGACCCCTCACCTGGCGACCACGGACCGAGCGCCCATTGCCAAGATCTTTGTCGAATGCTGCTCCTGCACGCACTATCACGACATGCCCAGCAATTTGTATAAAGCAATGTCCAACCCGGAAGGAGTGTTGAGTCCTGCCGACAAGTGTGGGTATGCTGGCGCGTTGTCCATGACTGTCCGATGTTCGTGGTGCAAGCACGAGATGAGCGTGCGCTGTTGCTCCGCATTGTCGACCAAGGTGTACATTCAAGAACGACTGTCTGGAGCGTCGTGATTTTATTCCTCATGTCGGAGCAATACTGCAGGTTATGATGGAATGACGCTGCTTGTGGGTATACATGATTTCTCATGGACAAGGACGTAGGACCGTTCACGGATAAGCAGCATTGCAGCAATGCAGCATGCGTGCGTATTCTCTCTTTTATTTCAATCTCTGCTTTACTTTTTCACTTCCCTTTTATTGTCATGTCCATTTTTGATGAATTTACTACGGCTATGATGTCACGAACGTTTTGATTTGCGAGTATTTAGCGTGGGGATGGTGGATGGTTTTGTTTATACCCGAAATGATTGGTGTTGGTTGGTGGAGTTGTGTTGAGAGTATGTCATTTAATAAAGTTTTTGCTGTAGATGCGTTGTGTATTGTGTTGTGTATTGCATTCTGTCTTGTAATGCCGTTTTGCGCTGTGTCTCTGCATTTGCGTTACTGTCTGCGATTATGTCTGTCATGAATGCCTGCGTGACTGAATACAGGGGCTGGACGAGCCAAGCCGGGGAGTGGGCAAGATGGACTGGGTGGTGAGTTGAACCTGGTAAGTGGTGGAAGAATAAAAAGGAATGAGAAGAGAAAAAAAAAGAAAAAAAAAGGGAAGGAAGGAAAGAAAAATAAAAAGATTTTTTAAATCTAAATTATTTCTTTAAAAAGAAAACTTGGTATAACTATAAGTAAGTACCTAGGTAGGTATGTAGTATAAAGTACAGAAATAGCAGTACATGATTCTTAACCCAAACGCAACACCACAAATTCACCTGGCTTATCAGTCCTCACCTCAAAGTTCACACCCAAGCACGTCATCCTATAGATGCAGTGACGATGCCCCACTACTAACGCACCAAGGATTATTATAAGATCTATAAAAAAAGCCACAGGAGAGAAATCCCGCTAATGTAGATTAGTGTGCTGGACCAAAAGGCATTGGTGCTGTGCAGTGCTCTCCGCCCATCAAAGATACCTACCTGCACCTGCACCTGCATTGTGTCTGGTACGCGTATAAGTAGAATTAACGGCAGGTCAGGCATCCAAGGCACTTTGGCCGAGTGGTCTAAGGCGCCGTGTTCAGGTGTACTTGCATAGCGAGTTCCTCTTCGCGGTCTAGTAATAGGCGAGGGTTCGAATCCCTCAGGTGTCATTCTTTTGCTTCACGTGTTTTTTTTTTTCGTCTTGTACGTTTTTTGTGTAGAGTTGCAATTTCGCCACATGGTTTTGGGGTGCACTGCGGTTATTGTCGTAGCGGTGCGTCAACGCATCGTTTCCTATTCCATTCTGGCACCGTTGTTCCGCTGCGTGTCGCTTCGCTGGGTGGGTGCAAGTGGGTAGGGCTGAAGGGCGGCCAGTACGCCGTGGGATGTCGAAGCCAAATGAGACACGCTCGCACGCATGCGTGGACGGGGCCGGGGGGTTAGTTGTCTGTCTGGGACCCTGTGCGGGGTGGGGCGGGGCGGGGCGGTTCTGGGTGGGATTGATCGACTCGGCAGTCGGGGCCACGTGCGCGTTGGGGGATAGGGGGGGGAGGTCAGGTGGTCGGGGCTTGTGTGCGAAGTGGCGATGGACGTTTTTGTCGTTGAAGAGTACAGAAATAAAGATAGAAATAACTATAGAATTCATACAGACAGACATGCACGCAGAAATAAAGATAAAGTAAAGCCAAAATATGCATTTCTTTTCTTTTCTTTTCTTTTTATTCTTTTTTATTCTTTTTTTTCTTTCTTTTTT